GATTCTCTCTCATCATTGATGTTTCTCTCTCTCTCTCTCTCTCTCTCTCTCCCATCTCTGAAATCAATAAGAATATATATTTTAAAAATTATTAAAAATAATAACCTCAAAGGCAACATGGTTAAAGCCCGAGGAATGAGACAGAAGCTTGGTGTTTTCCAAATCAATCTAGTGTTTTTTTTGTCTACAAAATTATGATTTCTGAGTCTCCTGGACACTGGAACGTTCACTAGGAATAGGAAATGCTAAGCTACAACACACAGGTAGGCTTTGGGGTTGATGGACAGGTGTCAATATTCCTTAAGGCTGATACATAATTGCAAAAGAGAAACAGATTCTATATCAGGCTTTGTACATATTTTAAAACATAATCCAGTAACTGTCTCCTGAACCTGCAAAAATACGTACAACCATCTGATTTCTTTCATTTCCACTGGTGACGTAAACTCAGGCAAACATGCAAAGACTGTTAAAGTATCCATTTCATTCAGTTTTTCTCTTGAAAGGCAAAATATAAAGATTTATCCCACTTATGCAAATACCCTTTTCTCCTTTTCCTGTAACTATCATGGCTTGACTACTATGAAGAAAAAAAATATGGAAAATTGAGAAATACTAAACTTCTTCCTTTTCAGTCAAGAGGTAAATAAGTTTTTTATTATGGCTGCATACACATTCTACAATTACGGGCCTGCAGGTTAAAGCAATTTTGAGAACTGAAATTTCAATAACTCTTCTTCATTCATCATTATCATCATTTATTTGCTTAATCATGTTCTCTACCCTACAAGATGCACTTTAAAAGTATATACTGGTTAAATTTACATTCATATTATTCTGGTTTTCTGGTATCAGGACACATTCAAATGTATGTTCACACATTTTGCTCATGCTAAATTATATTGGCTCATAAATTTAGCTGGGTGTGGGGAGAGAAATAGTGGGAAAGTACTCAGTGTAATGCAGTGAACATTAGCCCAACTGGGCTGTGAGCTTAAATAATGCTCTTTATGATGATAAAAGTTGAAAGATCTTAAATTCTATCACAACAAAAGTATCCACCTAAGATATCCCAACACAATAAAATTGGCTCTAACCTATAAATATCCAAAAAACAATGGGGGAAAACAACAAAAAAATAATTTGGGCCATTCTTTAGAATGTGATAGCAGTAGGGTATAAAAGATATCTTCACTAAAATATACTTCAAACTATCTCAGATTAAATATGGATATCATATTTTTGTTTGTGATTTGCATTATTTCATAAAAGGCAGAGACTGTAAATATATCAAAATAGTCATGTAAAAAGATTCCTGGCTTAAAATGTTCTGGATTCCACGGGTTTTGATAATTACTAAAAAAGCTGCTAAGAAATTGAACTAAATTTGTATATAAGACTAGAAGCCGGTGCATGAAATTCATGCACAGGGGGAGGGGGGTGTCCTTTAGTCTAGCCTGTGCCCTCAAGTGATGTCTGACTGCCGGTTTAGGCCTGATGTCTGTGCAATCCGGGATGCTGCATGCACCAGTGACCATACTTTTCATACAGGTGAAAGGCATCTTGCTGTTGTATGGGCAGCTACATTTTTTTGCCCTGATTATAAAAAGCAGTACATAGCATGATCCTTCTGAGGCAGTAGTACCATTTACCCCATCTTATGGGTGGAAAAACTAAAGCAGAGAGAAGTTAAGCAATTGGCTTTGTCACACAGTTATAAGTGTCAGAATCAGGGCTGACCACAAAATGTGCAAGCTGGAGTCCATTCATGTCATCCCTGCATCATCCTGGTTTTTTTTCAGTGTTCAATGCAGGAGCCTCCCCCAACTGGGGGCGGCTCCTGCATTGAGCATCTGCCAACTGGTGGTCAGTGCACATCATAGCAACCTGTCATTCTGCCGTTTGGTTGATTTGCATATTAGAGTTTTATTATATAAAATGTCTTAGTCAAAGACTCAAAACATGTTTACTGGCAAGCAAAGTTTTAGACATTCTTCAGGGAAATTCTATGAGGCATTAAATTACTCAGTGGTAATCACAAATTATGCTAGGATCATACTTAAAAATAATCATTGGGAGGCATGTAATGTGCTATAAAACAAACAGTTAAGGGATGGTAATTCTTTTGGAAATATGCTAGCATTAAAATATAGAAGGAATCAGATCATAGATATTTTTTCAAAACACTTTTAAAGAAGGAGAAATGGAAAAGCCTTGTAATTATTGCTAAATTTCTTAGTTAACACCCCACTTGAAAGCTGTGGAAGAAATCTGTTTTTGAAATTTTCCAAATTCAAAACTATGTTTTAAGACCAGTTTTATGAACTGGTTCTGAGAAGTTTCATGATCTCTACAGTGGCCACACAATGTAGTAAGGCACTAAAAAGTTTCTAGCTTATCTATTTTTAAGAGAGACTATGCCCTTTATAAAGTTTTGAAGTACTATTTTAAGCAAAAAATGCTAACATGGAGGAGAAATGTAACAATTATTTAACAGGAAAGACCATTCCTAGTTCTCAATAAAACATAGGTGAATGCAAAAAAAAAAATAATAAAATAAAAAACCCATCTTTCTAACGCCTTTCATGTGGGCTCAAGTGGAATCTTCAGTTTGGACGAATAAATCCCTGACAGCTCCCAGCTCCCTGAATGCTCCTGCAGCATCCCTCCTTCAACACTGTGAGGCAAGGAGTGTGTCTGGGGAACTGAGGGAGTTTCCTTGGCTTGGCTCTTTGGCCTTTCATCTGTTGCCTCTCTCCTACTCTGCATAAATCAGAAAGCTCCCTAAACTGGTCATTAACCTTCTCATCACATCCATCCTTCTGGGAGAGCATGCCCTGACAAAGCTCTGACAAGAGAGCGGGTGGCTCCGGGGGGTAGTTTAGACCTCCCAGGTGAGGGGGTGGCCGGCCTCCCCCGGGACCTTTGCCCAGAAACATGCTATCACACACGCACACTTTCCCCGCCAAGTGGCCCGGCCCTGATGGATGGATTGCCTTGTAAATTCACTTACTGCCAGTTCACTCAACCTCTTAACTTCGGGGCTTACCCAGGAGGCCAAATTTGCCTCCAGATTTGTCAAGTCTTGAGACACAGGTCTGAAGGAGAAAGCGATAATGAACAGTGCAATTTAGAAGGGGAAGAGGCAGCTGCATTTCCAGGCCCCCGGTCTATTCTGTCTCACTTCATCTTTTACCTTGGCTGTCGTCACATTAATATGGAGCATATCCGTCCTCTACTGGGGGTTGAGAAAATTAAGAAAGGCAGTTAATTCCTAAATGTGAGCCATCTGCCTGCGAGGAAGCTGACGAAGGATATTGTCTCAGCAGCGCCTGGCACAAGTCGTCCGTGGTCATGAAGACGGTGTACGTGAGGAGGAAGTCATCAAGGAGGGTTTCTGCAAAGAAAGAAACACAAGCACGCGGTAAGCAAAGCAGTGACTAGGAGGACAACGGACAAATGCTGGAGGTGGGAGGGGCTAGGAGGGAGCATTTTAGTCACAAAAGAGATTATTTATTAAAGTTAAGATTTTTAAAAGTCCTCACACAAAATGCTTCAAGCGGTGTGAAACTTTTATTGCAAGACTCTAAACATACAACTTTTGTCATCTTTCCCCCCACCCCTAAAACAGTATTTATATTTGTGGGTAAAGGTGTTATGGAAAACCAAAGCATAAATCATGTGCTTTTAGAATAAAATTTTACAATATTTCTGAGGTATACACTCCAGTCCTACAGGGAATGAAGCTGAGTGTTCTAATAAATGAAGCTTTCTAAAGCCATTCTCCTCAGTCTAGGGCAAGAACAACAGTAATAAAACCCAGAGGACATGTATCGGGTTCCAAGGGCATTCACCTTATCTCTCAAATGTATCTGTAAGAAGCTGGGAAAGTGGCGAGTGATTTTCTTATTGCTGTGAAGACAGACAGAGCTGAGTCCTCACTCCGTCCCAATTCCTCTCCTAACTCCTTAGCCAACAAGAACGGGCTCCATTTTCATCGCCTCTTTGCCTTGGGAGTTCTTTGAAAAGTCCAGCTCACATAGAATGTGGAACTGCTGACCTGGCAAATGTGACCTCGAATGTAACTTCCAAATGACAGAAAAGATTATATGCAGAATACAAAGTGGAGCTTCTGCCCTACGTCTTTATCCAATCTCCTTAACTTCAGATTCATTTTACTATACAATTTCATTTTACATTCTGGACATCAACTTTTTAGTTATTTGAAATAGTAATAACTTATACGAAAAGTGGGCTTGGCGTGTACTCAAGAGTACCCGTGTTTTCCAAAGTCTATCCACTAAAGACGTGGAGACAGAAAGAACTGCCCAGGACAGAACTTCATAGATACAGGTTGGAGACTGGAAAAATTTCAGAACCTTTAGAAACAACCAGTACCACTCACTTTAAAAGTCGTTCAAAGCCGAACAACAAGGCTATGTTTAGGAACACAGCACTCTGATGAAAGAGGTTGTGGATGGCATCCACAGTCCTATGTCAGCTTCAGGGCTCGACTTAGTTCTATGGTCTGCTTATGTTGCAGAATGTCAGCGATAGCCCTGACCCACACAAACGGTAATGCTCAACAACAACAACATAAGAAGGGAACTTTTTCAAATGTATTTATTTATTTTAGGTAACAATATTCCTTTTTCAAGAATAAACTTGACAAATGGCACCTAAAATGTGAAACAAGCCTACACTTAGAATGTATCTCACTGTAACATGTTGTAGACAGTCACTGGTCTCACTTACTTTATGGCAAAAGCCAGTTCCCAGGCAGATGTGCCTGGGCCTTGTCGAGCATTTATTAAGTCCAGTACGAGAAGACCGTGGGAATGTGTCTGGGTGGACGAATTAATGTGAGGGGAGAGGCCCAGCCTGCATTCAGAGGAGAGCCAGGGGCTTCCTACTGGAGCCCCTGTTTACAGGAGTTTTACATCTGCACAAAAAGGCAGGGGAAGCTTCATTCGGAGATCTGCCCCCAAAGTCGTTAACCTGGCAGCAAAAATGTACCACTGGCCACCCTGAGAAAAAAATGTGGAGTATACCTTTGAAACTTTATATGTCTTTCATTAAGGTTTTTAAATAGTTTAAAGTTAAACGATGGCATACTGTCTGAATCCCTGGGATATTTTAAAGAGGAATGCTCGCCCAGAACATTTTTCTGTATTAAATATAATTGATGAAAATCCTCAACTTCTCTTGTCTGATTAGAAATTGAAAAAACATTTTTTTTGTTGTTGCATTCAATGGTAGATACAGGCAGCAGGGACGAGAGAGAGCCCAGAATCTGCCTCAGATTGGAGCCAACGATGTACAGAAACCACTGGGTGATGGAGCTGAAAACCTTACCCTGCCAGCATTTCAAATGCTTGATATTCAGATTCAGGCTGTTTGGGGGTGATCTTACACTTAGCTAATCTAATGAGATTGGAAGGATTCTCTAATCAAGATTTACTCCATTAGGAGCTGAGATGAAGAACACCATTAACTTTGACATAACCAGTCTTTCCTTTCTGGAACAGCCTTAGGTAATGAGCTGAGCGACTGTGAGTCTGGTTGGATGCTGGCAAAACAACCTGACATTCGGTTCAATTAATCAGCTCACATATGACAATATTTTGTTAAGGGCTTTGACCCAGAAATGCTTATTTCCCCAAAGTTACTACCATATTAAATATTCAAGGCATTTACCTAATTATCTCTCTGCCATAGAAATATTAATGAAATAAGGACAATAAGGCTACATAAAAACATCTCCAGCTAAAATCCTAATGAATAGAATAGCTAAAAATCGTAAAGAATAGAACAAATTCGCAATAGTCTTGAATCTCTATTTAATTAGCATATTGTTCTGAAATTTTTCTACATATAAAGAGCTTTCTTTTATTCTTTTTCAGCACTAGTAGTTTTTTATTTTTTTGCTGCACGTGAAAGTAATTGAGTGATATAATCAAAATGACACACTTCAAGTAAAAGTGCATTTTATAATAGCCATGCTTCAAAAAAGGCTGTCCCATTGGTACTTAAAGATATTTTTAGAACCACAATAGCTATATAAATGAGCCCCTGAAGACTATTAGAAAACAATAGCCATTTAGAAAGACTAGCAAATCCATTGGCATCCACATTAACTCTATAATTATCTATTACATTCTATAGCGCTTAATTAATAGTAATTTAAGACCAGGCAAAAAAGCACCTTTGTGTATAAAAGCATCTTTCATTAAACAAATTCCTAGTTGCCATATGCACTAACATTCTTATGAAAAGATGTATTCACTTTGATTTCTAACTCTGTGAATACCTAGGTATCAATATACAAAAAAACTTTTCTTTAAAATTCTATTCATTAAATCAATCACTTAATCTAATTCCAAGTTCTTGGCTCATCACTGAAAAAACTATTTGGCCATACTATTGGGAATACCCTCTATTCAAAAATAAAAGAATATTTTTAGAGACTTTTTAAAATACAGGAAGTACTCTTACAGTCAAAAAGTAACATGCTAATGGCAATCAAAACTGGAAGGCAGCCCGGCCGGCATTGCTCAGTGGTTGAGCGTCGACCTATGAACCAGGAGGTGGTCACTATTTGATTCCTGGTAAGGGCACATGCCTGGGTTGAGGGCTGGATCCCCAGTAGGGGGAGTGTGGGAGGCAGCCAATCAATGATTCTCTCTCATCATTGATGTTTCTATCTCTCTCTCCCTCTCCCTTCTCCTCTGAAAGGAAATAGAATTGCAGTTTTAAGTACTGTGTAACCTGAAATAAAATACATCAATGTGTAGTCAAAACTAGAGCCTTGGTAGAAGGGCTCTAAAATTCATGTCTGTAATTAGCCCCAATGACGTTAATACAGGGCTCTTCCTAGCATCTGTTTTCATTTTAAGGCATAAGAATTGGTTATTTTTATTTGGTTTTACTTGAATGTATTTTTCTTTTATATATAAACTAAAATATCTTCTCAGTCTCATTTTGAGTGTATCAAGCACTAATAATTTCCATTTTATTTCTGAAAACACAAGCGTCTCTAGAGCCTCCTGGACGTGTCTCATGGAGGAAAAGTAACTGGTCTGGTACAGATCCTTTTTGTAATCAAAGTATAGAGAAGCTGTCCTAAATGTTTCCAAAAGGTCTAAGCTTAATGCTTCTCTCTCTCTCTCTCTCTCTCTCTCTCTCTCTCTCTCTGGTAAAAAAAGGAAAAAAACACATAAAAATAAACCTTGAAGACTAAAAATCACAAGGAGTATAGGGTTACTTAGGAGCAATTACAGAAAACTACTTCAGTTATTTTCACCACTCATAAGCAAAATGCACTTCAATAATGAAACCACTCATCTGTTAAAGTGAATTGCCAAATGAAAAGAATTTTGACAGACAACTGCCTATAGTGGCCATTTAATCTAAGTAAGGTAATGTGAATATTCAACACTTCTGTACTAACTCATATTCCCTAAAGTACCACTAGCAGTTTTGTGTCACCTGTATTTCTACCTCAGATGCAATGGAATGTCAGGCACTCTAAAATATGTTCTACTTAACCTTTATTTCAAGGAGACAAGAAAAGCTTTGTACTTGAAAGGGCCCATTTCTGGCCCTGGAATGTCACAACTTACCATTATTTTTTGAGGAGCAGTGCCAACATGTACCATGTAATTTGATAAGCGCACTCACACACACGCACATGCACACACAAATTTTCATGTTCATGTTTGAATCGCAGGTTAAAGCCACGCTTCTTTCTCAGTGCCTTGGTCCACAGAACAACTGTGAAACAGCCATGGAAGAGATCACATGGTATAACTAAGAAGTAAAACTGGGAAAGTAGGTTGGAATAAATTCCTCGAGGGACTTTGAGGACCAGACTAAGGAGGCTGGGGCACCTTCTATAGGAACAGGGGAGATTTTCAAAATGAGGAGTGACAAGAGACACAGATAATGCTTGCTGCATCAGGGAGGTCAGACTGGGTAAGGGATAAGCATGCGTTTACTTTCAAACACCTTGAGCTTGAGTTCCATGGGTTTAAGTGAAGCTATTGAGCAAACATCTCAGAAATGAGAGCCTGCTAAAGAGGGCTGGGTGCCTATGGGCACTACTGTAGAAGGATGGCTGAGGACAACATGAATTCTCACACAGTCCTGGAAAGGGGTCAGCAGGGGGCTTAGGGTTGAGCTGGGTTGTATGTTTACATTTGGGCAATAGTAAGAGAAAGATGAGTTAAGGAAGGGGAAAGAGAAGAGAGACATAGGAGAATTGGGAGATACAAAGGTAATAGAAGCCAACAAGAGGGATTAGAAAAGAGAGCAGATTTTAAGTGTCAAAAAAGTGGCTGGAAAAAGTTTATGAGCCTGGGCATTCAAAGGCCGTTGGATCTGGTGTGTGGATGGTCC